CTTTCCTGTCAATGTTCAGCTGTCATTATTGAAGGCGATAAAAAGCCCCAAAAAATATTTTGAAAATAATGAATAAATGAATTGAGTCAGTCAAGTGAAGTGTTTCCCCACTGGAAGGACTGAAAGCCGGCAACAATTCAGCGAAGGAGGGTTTAATTCTCACCTAAAACCTTCACCTGAAGCAAGGTGTTTGCTCTGGAAGTAACTCAATCCAGAACAAACATCTGTGGCTACAGCTCAATCCTGTGATTAGTGTGCATGAAATAATGATGGATCAGTCCTAATGACAATGTACAGGGAGAGTACGAGTCTGTGTGGATTTCCTGTGGTTGTGAGACAAAAACAACAACAACACATATGACAGGGTTGAAGGCTCAGAAGCGGAGAGCATGCTATGATCAGCACATCTGTTCACATCGGCTTTAGTAATAATTTCCCACATTTCACATGCGACTCTGCTCCTGCTGCACCACTAAGCTGCAGCACAATACAATGCTGTTTGCTGTCTGATGTGTTAGCACCATTACCAAATGATCGTTCTATATTATATAGATCACTTATACAGGCTTTCTTGTTGGTTCATAATCAGCAATGCTTTTAACAGCAGTTCAGCTTTCAAAATCATGCTAAAATCACATATTTATTCAGAAATATCATATTCTGCTTTTCTTATACACCACAATCAAACAGTCCACCTAGAACCTTACCAAAGCCTCTTTTTCAGGTGGTCTCGACCTTAATGACAGGTTAAAGCACCCCAAAACCATTAACAGTATATATAATGGACAGAGCTTCCGGGTCTGAAAAGTGAAGCCAGCACAGACGTGTCTAATCCTGCATTCTATGTAAAGGCCAGCAGGGGGAGCTCCATTGGCTGCAATAACACACGGATACCATACAGTCTTATGGGGAAATGACCTGGCTTGTCACTTGATTTATGAGCTCAGTAAACAGTTCCCTGATGAGTTTATGGTCTCAATCTCTAGTTTTAGTCTTCTTCCATAAAGCATGATGTTCATTTAGTAAATGATGGTCCACTTTAGAGGCGTGGCTACACTGTGATTGACAGATCATTCTCAGTGAGTCTGTTTAGCTCAACATGCTGATCAAATATGAATCAAGATTCTATTACTGCGTTGCCTATTCCTCTCTTAAAATTGTTTCAGAAACATATTTTAGTGTGCTGTTTATCTGGAATACAGGATTGTGTGTGACCAGGCGAGCAGCCATTGTTTCCTGCTACAGACAATTCAAAACTGCGCAACCAATGAGAGCAGCTCAACTCGCAGTAAGTCACTTCCGCTGGCTCTGACAAAGCATCATGGTGACGACCATAACACCAAACTGGAGGCTTCAAAATGGTACTCCACAAATCAATGGGTGACATCACGATAGGTGCACACTTAAATACACAAAGACTGATCTGTGCCTTCTACTCACCCAGCATGAGGAGGTTTAGATACATGGCCATGATGGGCATCAGGATGCCTGGACGCACGGACACCAGGATGTCTCTCTGGCTGTAACAAACAGAGACAAAGAAATAGGGTGTGACAAAGAAATCAATATAACATCTAAAGAGGCCTCTTTTAGTAAGACCCTCGTTTAGCTGCCAGGACAAAAATGAGTCCAGGGTCCTCACAGACGGCCATCTTTATATCACACCAGAGGATTTGTTTGTGTTGTTGCTTCTAAAATGTGAAAGAATCGCGTTTTAGAAGCGACTACACCTTAAGTGCTTTACAGACATGGTCAGACATTCAAAATAGCCTTTACGTCTTGACATGGTATTGTTTGTTTTAAGTAAATATTATTAACACTATTATTCCCCCCAAGCGCTGTGGTAATGGCTGCTGTTAGAACGCTACACAAAGATATAATAAAAAGTACAAAAATGCTGCTGTTGTAGTTCAAGGGTTTACTCAGAGGTAGAAGGGTCCTGATTGTGTTGTGACACCGAGAAGAGAAAAGGGCCTCTCGTATACTCAGGCTCCACAAACATTAGAGATTTGCTCACTGAATGGGACGGACAACTGCGTGTGTGTGTTTGTGTGTAGGCACACACACTGACAGGCGAGAACACACATTGTTCGTGTCACACACTAAACCAGTCTGACCTCTGAGACAAGCAGAAGTGGTTACAGGAAGGCAAGAGGACACACTAAATGAGAAGACTGACTTTCACAGCCAGGACTGCTTTTGCAGCCTAAATAAGCCTTTAAAGTCAGAGGGAGAACTGCTTTGTTGTCTGACAAATGACAAATCAAACGTCTTCAGTTTTAAAGAATTTCTCAAATAACTTAACCTCACTCGCTAATCCAGGTTTGTGATTTAAAGCAGGTCTCTGTTGGAAAGCATTTTTCACACTCAGCTTAGCAATAAGAGGTCCCACGTGGCCCCGCGCTCACACTTTCAAAGGCAGAAGCACCGAGGAGGGACCCCGCAACATCTCAACACTGGGTTCAACGGATTTACATGTGTATTAAGTCACTGACTGCATCCGTAACAATAAGCTATTTGTTTTCTTGATATTTAGATGCAAATACCATACAACAGCGTGAATTGCTATTCAAAGTAAATTGGTTTTACTTGTGGTTCAGATTATGCTGTACATGAATGCTTAGCCCACCCCATAGTATATGAGCAGCATATGAAAATATAAAAGCATATTATCACTGTCCAAGGAAAAGCATTTTTCAGAAACAATAAAGAATTACGTCTTTTTAAATAAACCATTTCAAAAACTCCATTGAATTGGCTAAAAAATGCAGTGTCTTAAAGATGAAAACATGCTACAAAACACTAAATTTTCTCCTACTATTACAATTGTATCTTTCTATCAGAGTGAGACAAGGGAGCAGGCTGGCTGTGTTGTTGAAGTTTATCTCACTTGCTGTTGGTTGAATGTAGCTTGATGAACTGCGAAATCAGGTCTTGCATAAGTTCACCAGAACTCG